TGGTAGCATCGTCGTCGTGGAGATTGTGGATCTAGGATCTCAGCCCTGGCTCTGCACTCTGATGTACTGTGAGTCCTTACCCGATGATTCTCACACCACCTCCCCTGACAGGTGATCAGTGATAAGATGGACTGGAATGCTCAGCAGCTACCGGCATAGCATACAAATCCGACCCCGTGGAGGGCAATTAGGGTGGTAGGGATTTTCCTCTGCTGGTGAAGTATCACTATGCCTTATGCCATTGCGTGAATTCCAGATGCGCTGTGCTGTTTCGGCCATCTGGGTTGGGCTACCATCTTCTTTAACAGAGAGGAAGTCTTGGAGCCATGCGGGGATGCCACTCAGGAAGACCCTCTTCACTAGTTCGGATGGATCACCAATGGCCTCGCAGTGATCCCTGTATCCCTGGTAGACGTGCCCTTCCAACTGCAAAAACAAGTCCATTGGTGCCTGGCTTGGTATCATCCGGATGTCGTATAGAACCTTGTAGAAGTCCGAGGAGGTGTAGGTACCTTGGAACTACTACGGAGAGCTGCCTTGAATGTGTCCCATTCTGTGATCGAGTCGAAGAGAGGGGAATTAATGATTAGCTCGGCTGGACCTCTGCAGTTTGCCTGTGCTGCCTGAATGAACATCTCTGATTTGGCTGGCTTCATGATGTTCTCAATTGTCCCAATCCAACTCTCTAATGCTTGGTTCTTTTTGAGCGGCTGTGAGGCAGAAGTATCCCCCTTGAAGTGCGGGACAGTTCCTTCGTGAACACATAGGAAAATGGTGTGCCAGACAACTGAGACAAACGATGTGCTGACTGGGGACGCTGAGGCAAAGACCTAGGCCGGAACTGCTGCGGCAGAGATGTTTGTAGGTCATACATGTGTCACATTCAGGATACAACTGCTGCTCTGGTATTGGAGTGTGGGGCGGTTCCGAGGAAGAGGCTGAGGAGGAGAGCAGCTTCCATTAATGACAGGAGGGTGCTGATGGTGGTCTTGACACCTAGTCATGGCATGTTGTACTGAGCGGGCGAGATGGCGGACCTCTGCTAGCTCCTTGTCCCCCTGCTGAAGTTGACTACGAAGCTCTTGAATCTCTCGGTCTTGGGCACATTCCATGGGTGCAGGTGTAGCACCTGACCCCTGTAGTCATTGGCGGGCCTCAGTCAGCTCCCTGTTCCATTCCTCTAGCTAGCGGCAGAGCTGCTGAATTTCCTGTTTTCGGGTATGTACCACAGGCACGGGCGCGGCGTTCGTCCGCAGTAGTTGAAGGCGGGTCTCCACCAGCTCCCTGTTCCGTTCCTCCAGCTGGCGACGGAGTTGCTGAACTGGATCCTCCTGGTCTAGTTCTCTCTCCTGTGGCTGATGGAGGTTACTGTCTGCTGGCTGTTCTTGATAGAGTGCCTTCCTGCATGCAATGTTCAAGGGCCTCTTCATGGCGCTGTAGTCAGGCATCATTCTGCTCCTTGTACTCCCGTACTTCTGCGACTAGAGAGTTGGTCTTCTCCATGATTTGGTCAAACATGGATACTTCTGTGACCATCATCTGGACAGCCTCGCGTACATCTTGGTTAGAACCACCTGGTATGCGGCGTGGTGTTGGGAGACTTCACAGGATGTCGGTTGGCTACTTCACGGATGTTTCGACGCTGCTGGAGTCTCTGGTATCGCTCCTGCCTCTCCTGCTGTTCGGCATGCCAGGAATGCAGCAACCAAATACTTGAAGTTCTTCACGTACAAATACAAATTACTGCTGGCGGCAAAACCAACACACAACTGACAACCCACAGGATCACAAAGAAGAGTTCATAAGCATAAACTGCTGCACAAAAAAAGATGCTGCACAAAGCAAAGACGCTGCACAAAGCACGCTGCACAAAGCAAAGTCGCTGCACAAAGCAAAGATGCTGCACAGCAAAGACGCTGCACAAAGCAAAGACACAGCACAAAGTAAAGACACGGCACAAAGCAAAGACACTGCACAAAGCAAGACACGGCACAAAGCAAACACTGCACAAAACAAAGACACTGACCACCAAAAGTGAACTGGCTGGGGATAAAAGGGTTAATACAAAATAAATGAAAACATCCTAAACTAAGTGAGCCACAGTAAAACTAACTAGGCGAGCTGGCTATTAGCAATAAAAGAATCTAACTCTGAAAGAGAGAAGGTAAAAGCTGAAAGAAAAAGGCCAAGCTCTAAAAACTAAAAAAGCATGCATGACATAAAATAATGCTGGATGTCTCAACATCAGAAAGTGATTAATCAAGAGTGTTAACTCATTCACTGAACATCTCACCGCAAAAGCCACCAAAACCACTCTTGTAGTGTTATGTCTAACCCTGGGGTCCCGTCCCTGTTCATCAAGTCACTCTTAGAATTCTGCCCTCCCTTGATGCTGGCGGGGGATACAGGTGCAAATAGACCTGGTTAACCCCTGTCAATTCAATCCCCTTAAGTGGTAGCGTGGGGGAGACTGAATCATTAATTGGAGTGTTCCAGTGGGAATACCACTTTCTGACGTTCAGCCTAACCATATGGTAAAATACATACTAAAAAGTAATCTAAGAAAAATACAAAAGTAAAAGAATGTGCTAAAGGCACCTGAAGTTACTGACTGTCGTATGCAAAAACTAAAAAAAAAAAAAAGACTTCCAGAGTGGAGAGCCTGGCTGAAGGCCTTACAATTAAACAAAGACAAAACCAGCAAGTCTGGCATCAGAGCTGAAGGCTTAAAACCCTTAAACCTAAAAGAAAAAAAATACGATAGTATTGACCAATTTCCCTCTTTTCTAGAGCTGACTTAGACGCAATCACACAGGACATCACCAACTTTAGCACAGACTACTTTTCCACTGATCCCCACTCAAGACCATTCACCTCCAATTGGGATAACCTTAAACTCACCATACTTACATCCATGAACAAACACATAGCACAGAAAACACCTTCAAATAGACATACACTTCCCTGGTTCTCCAGGGAGCTACGCAGACATCGCAAAAAGCAGCGACTCTACAGACGCGCGCAAACATACAAAACACTCCAGAAAATTGGACTGCTTTCAAAACTCACCAAAAAACATTTTCCAAAAACAAAGAAAGCAGATCACAAACATATTTCCACCTACCTCACAAACAACATCAGAAAGAACCCTAAACACTTCTTCAAATTCTTTAAGTCGCGCAGACAGGACACAACGGCGATCACAGCCTTGAGAGACTACAACAACACTCGTAACTGACCCAGAACTCAAATCACAATTACTCAACACACACTTCCAGTCTGTTTTCACACAAGATGATGATAATACACTTAACATTCCAGATAGACCTTATCCCCCAATCCCGCCGCTTGACATCACGACTAACGGCATACTGAAACTAATGACTACTCTTGACACAAACAAAGCCCCCATCCTTCAATCTATCTTTTCCCAATCACTCGCCTCATTCACCCTACCAACTGACTGGCTTTGTGCAAATATCACCCCCCTCTTCAAGACAGGCGACAGAACTGACCCGATGAATTATCGCCCCATCTCTCTCACATCGATCGTCTGCAAAATTTTTGAACACAATACACAAACACATAATGAACCACATTGATACCCACAACATCCTTACAGACTCACAACATGGTTTTTGGCCCAGACGATCATGTGAGACCCAACTAATCACCACTCACCATGACATTGTACGACAATTAGACAGACGTGACACTAAACAAGTTGACGCCATACTACTTGACTTTGCCAAAACATTTGACAAAGTTCCCCACAAAAGACTGACTCTTAAATTACGACATTACAGGATCACAGGATCAATACTTCACTGGATCACTGCTTTCTTGACGTGTAGGACCCAACGCGTCTTACTCGACGGAGTATCTTCTGACCCTGTCCCTGTCTCTTCTGGTGTCCCACAAGGCACCGTTCTTGGCCCCCTTCTTTTCCTTCTGTACATAAACGATCTTCCACTTTCGACTCCTAATTCTTCTACTGGAATTTTTGCTGACAACAGCCTTTTGTAACGACCTATAAAGACTGAAGACGACTGTAGACTCCTCCAACAAGACATTGACACGCTTGAACAGTGGGAAAGACTATGGCAAATGTCCTTTAGGGCCAATAAATGTAAAGGGTAATTTTCTGTATTACCTTCGCCTCTCCGATATCGATGATTTTGGTATTGTTGGATTCCTCTCACTATCCACATTGCAAATGTATAGTTTTTATTGCGCGGAAACCCCCCGTTAGCAACAAACTTGGCCCCAATAGCAGGGGAAGGCATGAAAGGTTCCAGGGTAAATGCGGGGTTAAATAACACTAATAATATAACCTACAGTGAAAATAACCATGGTTATTCACATGACCTTCCATTGCAGGGGCCGTGCCCTGCAACCCCCCCTTGGGGGGGCTGCCGCCCCCCAACCCCAGTAGAGGAAACAAAGCCTCCACCACGTGTTCCCGGCAGGCTAGAGCGTTACAGAGTTATTGGCGATCTCGGAGCGGCGGACGTATTACATTTACCTCGTAACATTCCCACTGAATCAGCATGCTAACCTTTACATAGTCAACATTGTATAGAGATACGATTGTAGTATAATCAGGACGAACAAGGTATACCATGAACAGAAGAGTGGCGGTGACCCTCCCTTGTCGGGTCGGCGGGTTTTGTGCCTTTTTCGATGCATCTGCAAGGGAAAGCCATGTGAATAACCATGGTTATTTTCACTGTGGGTTATATCATTAGGGTAATTTTCTATATTACGTACGCTGCTCCGACATCGTCGCCCCTGCTATCGGGGCCAAGTTTGCCGCTAACGGGGGGTTTCAGCGCAATAAAACCTACATATTTGGATCGTACAGAGTGAGAGGAATCCAACAATACCAAAATCGTCGATATCGGAGAGGCGAAGGTAATATAGAAAATTACCATGTAAAGTTATCCATTTCACAAGATCACACACACCCACACCGGTAGAGGTTGAAGACCGCGAAGCGCGTAGATAGAGGAAAATGGACACCGCCATCTTATAGAGCGGAAGAAATAGAGTAGGATAGTGGTAATTTTAAGATGCACAGGCATTATATTTACCGTTAAACGGGAAAAAAACCGCGGCGCTGCGCGCCGCGCAGAGCCTAAGTCCAAAACATCCTTCCACAGGCAGAGTTCTTTGTTTATGTTTACATTTTCTATAAGCTCGTTTTCTATATGTCTCATTTTCTGTTATTCCATTTTCTATAATTGCGTTTTCTATGAAGGTCACGTTTTCGGTGCACCACTTTCAACCAACCTGGAATCATTGCCGATTACGAATTATTTTTATACATTATTTTATGTTATTTATAATGAAATTTCCTCAATTATATTTATGCTTATAGATTATATGTTGTATTCTGTGTAATGTGGTTAATTTACCATTACTATAATCTTTATCATAACCTTGATTGATTGTTAACAATCTAACAATGCTACTGCCTTGTTACATCAATTGCCTTCCAATCGGAACAATACCCAATCTTATTACGTAGTCACTTGCCTGTAAGCCACCGTCATGGCAACTGCAAGTGATTTTTGTGCGGATTGTGACATGGGGTAAGTTTAAATGTTTATTATTTATATTATTAAATGTTTATGTATTTTAAAATATAAAATATTTTTGGCTTATATCATAATGGATCATTTTTTTAAATTTATTATATCATGATAGGTATGGGCACTTCTGGGAAAAGTACGGCACCCAGCCTTCCCTCTTGCTCGATCTTTGCCGTACACATGGCCTCATTTTGGAGGCCATGAAATGTCCAAAATGCGACGGCGAATGCCGTCGCGATGATAATTTAAATTCATTTAGGTGCGACAAGACCCAAAAAAAAAATAATCGAAAAGTTAGATGCAATTTCAAAAAATCACTTTTTAAGAACACCTGGTTTGATAATAGTAAGCTCGATTTTGAAACTAATTTAAAATTTGTTAATTTGTATCTGCGAGAGAGGTTTTCTTACGCATCTGCACGGAGCGAGTTTAATTTCCCAAACCGGACTATTTGCGATTGGGCGAGCTTCTGCCGGGAGGTTTTAATTTTCTGGTGTTTTGAAAATCAATCCGACAAAATTGGTGGGTCAGGGGAAATTGTCGAGATTGATGAATCTAAATTTGGAAAACGTAAATATAACGTAGGTCGTGTCATAGAAGGTCAGTGGGTTTTTGGAGGAGTATGCCGCAAGAGTAGGGATTTTTTCCTCGTTGCCGTGGAGACGCGTGACTCTCTCACTTTGCTTAACGTCATTAAGGAGCGTATCCACCCAGGGACAACGGTCATTAGTGATTGTTGGAAGGCATACAACTGTTTGGAGAAAGAGGGCTATCAACATTTAACTGTGAATCATTCATATAATTTTGTTGACCCCAAAAGTAAAGCGCACACAAACACGATCGAGCGGAAATGGAGGGAAGCGAAGATCAAAGTGCCCCGCTTCGGCAGGAGGACATACCACTTCGCCGGGTACTTGGCTAAGGCCATATTTCAAATGAAGTACCCGGCGGAGAACAAAAGATTCCATCAGTTCCTCCTTGCCGCAGCTCGCCTGTACCCTCCGCACTGACGGTATGTGTTAAATGTATTGATAATGTGATTTGGTTATTATTAGACATCGTGCTAATAAGGGGTGTGTTAAATTATTTTGGGCAATCCTAATTAAGGCAGCCGCGGAAAGTGTATTTGAATTATTTAATAATGTTCGTACATGCCGGGGAATTTAATATTTTGTGGGGACCTCACTGGCCGTGCTTTAATTCAAAATCAAAGGTTGCCTTTCTACAAATCTCGATGTCTGCGAGATTTCTGAAAACTAGGGCGAAATACCCCCAGGGAGATATCGGCAACACGGACACCGGCGCGGCGCATGTTGCAGCGGCGACGAATTTTCGTTCGTCTTTCGATTTTATTCCTAAATTTTAAATTTCTATTAAACTATTTCTCCGTGGGGTCTCCCCTACGTGCCCATGAAGATTGAAATGTGTAGGCGACAAAAACGAAATTGGGGCGGGTGTCTTACTTATAATTTACCCGGCGGGGAAGTCTCATAACTGAGGCGCGACAACAGGAGGTTAGTACGTTTTAATTTGTTTTAAACGATAACCGGCAAATTGCACATGTATATTGCACGGAATATAAATCATAAATATTAATAAAATGCGTGTTACAATAAGTGTTTAATTAGAATTTTACAATATCCGCATTATTTAAAATTATAAACGGTTTGACACAAGTTCGTTGGTTATTGTTATGTTTCGGTATTCAGGTTTGTATGATTACGAATATGTGTTATAATAAAAAAATATTGTGTATCATATATCGATTTAGTCCGCATAACGTTTTGCGCTTGTTTAATTTAGCGGTGTTTCATTCGGCGTCCGTCTGACAAAGTTTGGCTCTTATTTTTTTTATTATACGGCCTTTATTGTTGCCGTAATATAAATTTAGGCTCGTCTTTCATATAATTACAATTGTATAGATGTTAAAGTGGTATTTATTTATTTAGACATTTACAGGTTGCTATTGACATCGTGCATTCCCCCCCCCCCAACGGAGCTTTGTGAGGTCGATTTATCCCCCTCATCCCTCCCCCTCCCCCCCCTAGGGAATTAGGCTCTGCGAGGACAACTTCCCCTTTTGGAGGGGGGGGTACCCCCCCCCCCCCCACATTTGGAACTTAGTCTCTGCGAGGGTGCGTCGCGGTCTTCAACAATTACCCTCATCTTTAACACACACACCGACTTCATCATTAACAAAGCCAACAGAACACTGGGGTTTCTGAGGAGGAACCTACACAACTGTACCCTGGACATTAAACACATAGCTTACAACACACTTGTACGTCCAACACTAGAGTACTGTGCGGCTGTATGGGACCCCTACACTAAATACAACATTGAGAAACTCGAGCAGGTTAATACTAGGGCAGCCTGGTTTATTACTCAATTACTCACATACTCCTGGTATTACATCTCACATAAAAAAACAGTTTAACATGGACCTGCTCGAGTCACGAAGCCAAGCACAGACTTACAATCATGTACAAAATCACAAACAACCTTGTAGACATCAACAAACACGAATACTTACACGCAGCACACCCACGCAACACAAGGAACTCGCACACCAGTAAATTTGTCACATACCACACTAACACTAACTCTTACAAGCACTCATTCTTTCCACGTACCATACGCGACTGGAACAGGCTCCCACAACACATAATCGAAGATGACACTTAAAACTTTCACAAACAAACTAAATAAACACTTAACAATACAAACGCCTTCACAAACACCAACACTTCCGCTTGCACCTTGATCCTTCCCCCTTTCCCCAGCAACCAATCGCTACTAATATGCGTGTTATGAGCTCACTTAGCGCCCTACGCATAAAATTTTGAGATGGAGATTGAGATAAAAGTTACAAATACAACAGAGAAACAAACCAGCCAAGTTCATTTAAAAATAAATAAATAAACATAAGGATGTTCAAATTATTCAATAAAAATGTTCTTAAGATCACGTCCAGCTCCTATGCAAAGAATATCAGGATCTCAGTACTTAACTTATATTCTTCCGTGATCGTCTCTGTGTTCGGTTCAACAAATATGGCGACACTGCCCGTGGTTCAAAGTTTCGGAGGATAGCGAAACACACTCGTTGACGTCTCGACCAGGGTTCTCGTCCTGCGCGCAGCCACTTGCTCGCACAACAGTTTTCTAATAGCGTAAACAAAGAAAACAAATAGATATCATTTCTTAGTGTTGTGGAATAGTAGAGATCCTCGAAAAGCAGTGACAAGGTCTCTCAGAGATGGCATTGACATTAGATGCTTCATCCAGAAAGTTTTGGGGGACAAAAATGCGGCACATTTGAATTTGTTTGCAAGAGGGAACCTTTTTTTCATTTCTTAGCAAGCAATGATGGGAAATTGTTTGCAGGTGCTGAATACATTCTCTAGCAAATCTTGGTTGTGTCTGTATTCCTCTGATTGTATGAGGCAGTGCATTTCTGATCCAAGATACATCTGGTAAAATGGAAGATGATTTGAATCGTTCCCAATATCAATGGATGTTCTATCGTCTGCCTTATTTATTTCATTTCTCTTTATAAAGCGTCACAACAAATCTGTGTAGAGTTCATGGCACTTTTTGTGTAGGACTTGGATGGTTGGTCCTTGCTGTTGGAAGAGTAGGTTGAGCTGGTTGAATTTAGGCAAAATTAAATTAAGAAAAGTATAAAAGAGTTTTGTAGATGGTTCGTTCATTGTGTCCAATATGCTTATTGTCTTTCCTCTGCCCTGATATTAAAGAAATACAGTTTGAGAGGCTCCCACTGTTCCAGCAACCTTTTTACAGCCGCATGGTATGATAACCACCTTGTCTGGTACACATGTAGTAATTTGTGAGGTTTTACATCACAAAAATCTTGAAATTCTTTGAATGTATGAATTCTTTTGGCGCTATGGGAGAAATGGTTGTGTATATTCCTCACAAGATCTCATTTGCGAGGAAGACATTTGGCGGCTTGGGAGGAGCACAAGTATACAGAATGACAAATACATTTGAGTATGGTAATTCCACTACATTTGATATTAGTACTTACAGTTGGTGTCGATCTCTAGAACTCAAAGAGGAGCATGTTTCCTTAGCTGTCTCAATAGCTTCTTGAAAATACAAACGTGGTGTGAAAATAGGCACATATTTTTCATTAAATTATTTGTAGAATAATTGATTCAAACCATAGGATATCATTATTTATTGTGCAAATATCAACAAAGCCATTTACTATGAAAAAAACGTAAAATACATTTTTGCGAACATTTTGCACGCATGAGTGCGTGCTGCGGTCCGCAAATCTGCAGGTGTTACTTCCCGCGCTTCAAATGTTCGCATAGCAGACGAAAATTGTATGCAAGAAAAAGAAACACAATAACTAAACAGAACGAATAAACACTGTACGTAAAAATGCTTCCCCTACAACTTAAAATGAAAACTAAGTAAATACGAGACCTTAAAACTTTACTGAATGTTAAAAAAAAAAACTAAAATGAATAAAAGCTGAAGATAAAAGGGTCATAAAAATGTCTCGTTGTTAAATCATAAATAAAAATCTTCAGAGAAAACACAGAATAAAAAGGGGAAACTAAAATAAAACAATAAAAGTAAATAAAATCGAGAAAAACAACCTAAAACCGAGGTGAGACACGTGAGACAATCCTCCAACACGGCAGTCACAGCGGGAGAGCGGAGAGGATGAGATGCAGCATCCAAGACCACCTTACAATCTCAAATTATTTTTAAAGAAAAAATGCGCGTGTAAAAATATATGTAAGAGTTTTCATCAAATTCACAAATGTAAAACATATTAGAAGGTGAAATACGAATCTCATATTACATTGTCTGTAAATGGAAATCGTAATGTTTTCTTACCTGATTCATTGTTTTTGCGCGGCTTCCTTGTGGATTTTGTTAATGGCAAATTGTCCAATTGCTTGATGGGCTCTTTATGCACACTTGAGTCGCGTGCAGTGACAAGATTTGCAGGGAACTTAGGTCAGAAGTTTCTGACAGTTTGTCAGAGATAGCGAACAGGGGTACTGTTTATTAAACAGTCGATATTCATATTTCAAATTGTAATACTTAAAAACATAAAATGTTATTCTTATGTATCCATTATTCTCTCTCTCTCTCTCTCTCTCTCTCTCTCTCTCTCTCTCTCTCTCTCTCTCTCTCTCTCTCTCTCTCTCTCTCTCTCTCTCTCTCTCTCTCATCTAGTGCTAACTATAAATAGAGAAGGAACGTCTTGAACAACCAAGTAAGTGTTATTGAAGATTACTAAACAAGCAACTATGGCTTAAAAGACTGGTTTTGTATTTAAAAAGAAGGGAGGACATTGTGACCAATCAATCTCATCGAAACTCAAGATAAAGAAGCCAGATGTATGCTTCTTTTTGTCTTACGGAATATGTAATGAGTGTTTGACCTAACAAATTCAAACATATGTATCTGCATTTCGCCCGAAATTACAATATGAAGTTATAATATTTTTCACTTGTAAAAATACAACAATTACCATAATTTGAATGGTTATGGTATTCTGATATAAATTTCTCTGTTGGATTTCTTTCCTGTTGAAAATAATTGTAAAACTATTTCAACCAATCACAGTCATTGCCACAGACTATACAGTATGTAGTATCCCCCACGGGATACTACATACTGTATAGCCAGATAAAAATTGGCACCTCCAAATCCGTGGTGTACTTGTTGGAAATGTCCCGAAACTGTACATATAACTGTGCAACTGTACATACACATATATGTATGTACAGTATATATGAATATATGTATGTATGTGTGTGTGCAGACTGTATATATATATATGTGTGTGTGTGTGTGTGTGTGTGTGTGTGTGTGTGTGTGTGTGTGTACATATATATATACACACATATATAAGAATATAAATATTTATATACATACATAAATATATATATATCTATATATGCACACATTATCTATCTATCTATATATTTATATATGTTTGTATATAAGTGTGCGTGTATTTGTGTGTATCTGTATGTATGTATGTATGTATGTATGTATATATATACATACATATATACATATATAATATATATATATATATATATATATATATATATATATATATATATATATATGTATACTCACACACACACACACACACACACACACACACACACACACACACACACACACACATATATATATATATATATATATATATATATATATATATATATATATATATGTGTACACACACACACACACACACACACACACACACACACAAACACACACACACACACATACACACACAGACACGCACGCACAGACGTA